AGCACATGCAGGTAAGATTTTGCTGAAGATCATCCAGCCATGGTTGCAGCAGTCCATTGACAGGGAAGCTACCGGAGGTTCAGGCTGGATTCAGGAGGACACGGAAGAAGGGATTTCATTGATGATGTCAGACGGATCTTGGCTGAAAACATAGAATACCAGAACGCTGTTAACTTGTGTTTTATTGACTATGCCAAGGCATTCACCTGCACGGATCAACCTTGGGCAACCTTGAGAAGAATGAGAATTCCAGAACACTTCATTGTGCTCATGCAGAACTTGGACATGGATCAAGAGGCAGCTGTGCAAACAGAACAAGGGAATATCGTCTGGTTAAACATCAGGAAAGGCGTGGGACATGGTTGTATCCTCTCATCAGAGTTATTCAATCTGTGTGCTGAGCAAACCATCAGAGAAGCTGGATTATGTGGAGAAGAATGTGGCATCAGGACTGGAATAACCTGGGAAATGAGGGTACACAACCTTGCCTGCTCAAAGTGAGGCGGCCCAGAAGCACTTGCTGATGAAGATCAAGGACTGCAGCCTTTGGTATGGATGACAACTCAACGTAAAGAAGACCCGAATCCTCACAACTGGACCAAGAGGTAACATCGTGGTCAGTGGAGGAAAGGTTGAAGTTGTCAAGGACGTTGTCTTGCTTGGATCCACAATCAATGCTCATGGAAGCAGCAGTCAAAAGATCAAACAATATAATGCGTTGGGCAAATCTGCGGCGGCACAAAACCTCTTTTAGAGTGTTGATTAGCAGGAAGGTTACTTTGAGGACTAAGGTGAGCCTGACCCAAGCCATGGTATTTTCGATCACCTCACATGCATGTGAAAATTTGATATTGAACAAGGAAGACCGAAGAAGAACTGATGTGTTTGAATTGCAGTGCTGGTGCAGACTATGGAAAGCACCCTGGGCTGCCCAAAGGACAAATCCACCTTAGAAGTACAGCTCCTTAGAGGCTGGGAAGGGGAGGCTTCCTCCCACACACTGTAGACATGTTGTCAGGAGAGACCAGTCCCTGGAGAAGGACATCATTTGGTAAAGTAGAGGGGCAGCGAAAGAGACTGACTGTGACAGTGGTCAGGCATGGGAACAACTGTGAGGCTGGCGCAGGTCCAGGCAGTGTTTTGTTCTGTTGTGCACAGGGTCACTGTGGGTTGGAACTGACTCAATGGGATCTAATAATAACAACAACAATAATAACAACCACCACCATGTAAGCCATTTGTAAAAATATAAACTCTTTTCTATATCTACCGATATAAGCATCTCTGGCTTTATTTCTCTCGAGAACCCAGGCCATCACAGGAGCTTTGGACCGTGACTGGATCATGAAGCTTTCTCGAGAAGCTTCAAGTAAGAGTTCTTAGAGACTATGCCTTAATGCCCAGCGACATCGAACGGTATCTGGTTGGATGTGATCTATGGCAACACCCTCGACCCAGGGAAACGCTGGGGAGGGGTAAGGAAGAACTGAGAATGCGTTGAGTGTGATGTGTGGAGGTGGTTCAGAGGCTCTGGTCTGATGAAGGTAGGTTTCCTCTTCTGACCCCTCCATCACGCAGGCCCTGCAGGAAGCACTAGGCTAGCACCTGCCACAGTACACCTGACCCCAGGCCTGGCCCGCCTGCCTGAGCCCCTTCGGAAAGAACGCCATATGCCAATTGGCAACACAGAACCCAGTCCCTGGACCTAGCTCTGGGACCATTTCAGAGGTGTGTTTGCACAGGGTGGCAGAACATCTGTATCCCAGGAATGAATTTCCACTGGGACCGTGGGCAAGGCTCGTAGCCACCCTGTGCCAATGAATCCTTATGGGCAGCGGCGGGAACCACTGTCAGCGCTCCGTAGCTGTCCTCCAAATGAAGAGGAAGGAGAATGAGAATCCAGTGGCGAGGCTTAGGGGAAAGGTAAGGAGCACTCAGTGTAGAGAGCACTGCAGTCACAGCGCCTGGCACCACTCCAGGCCCTGTGATGGGGTGGTCATCCTTGTGGATGAAGGAGCAGGAGCTGGCCCTGCTCTCCCCAAATAAAGTGATACAATTGCTTTCTGAAATCAGAGTTTACTTCACCAGGAGTGTAAAGTAATCTCATTAAATATTAGAAACCTATGGGTTGGACATTTAAATATATATACATATATATATACATATATATATATATAATTTTGAATGTGTACAGCTATCCTTGAACTCTGACTAATTTTATTTTATTTATTATTATTTAACTTAAATTTATTTTTAATGGCTACCAAATCAGAGAACTCTGGCTCATTTGAGAAGTAGCTTGTCCAGTTCGACGTAACTGTCTGTAGGTGCTCAAGCTCAGAGACACTTGAAACTCATTCTTTTGGAAAAAATTGGAAGATCAATGCACATGTCGTTTCCACGACTCCAGAGGTCTTACAACCATGATTCGCTGATCTTAGCACGATTCTCATTTTTTCCTGTTCTTTTTACTATTTGAGCATGTTCTACTATAAGATTGATATATCCTGACATAATCATCAACCAATCACACACTTTTGTTCAGTGTTCCTGATGAACTTGTACAGAAATACCCTGAAAATTGTCATCAGAATCCTGGCTGACTAGGTACGGACGTGCTCCTTCACGTTCCACTATCACCTCACACCGCATAGCGTCTGCTCATGGTGTTCCGGGTTGGGTATATTTTTGATGGGAGCAAACAGATGGCGTCTGGAGGAAACACCTCCTTGCACACAGCAGGTGCTTCTGTTCCCTTTTGGTCCTGGGGCATGTTCCCTTCCCTCCTTGGGACTCATTCTCCTGACTTTAAAGAGTCTCTAGGGTTACTAACACCCACTCTGTGGCCAGGTTGTGACGTCCGTGTGACTCCAGTCAAAGCTGAATCCTCTGCGGCAAGGATGTTGTCCTTAGTGTTTGAAGGGGCCACACATGACTTGGTTTACCTCTTGAAGTTCTGGGTCAGTGAGCAGACAGACAAGAGACTGAGACACTCCTAAGCCTGGCGGGGGAGAGAACCACAACATGGCCTGGAGAGAGAGGTGGGGACCTGAGCCCAGGAGGGGGTGGGTCAAGTGTGGGCACCGCACTAGGTTAGCAGGTTGTTCCAGAAGAGGAGCACACAAGTAGGGGCCCTGGGCTTGTCCTGCTTAATGTGATTGGAACAAGCGGTTCAGACAGTGGGGAGGGCAGCATTCCTGCTGACGGCGGGGGAGTAGTCATTTTTATGGGCACAGACGCTGAGGAGAGGGGAGAGTAAGCAAGGAGGCACAGCCCGGGCTGCTACTCACAGGCGGTTCATGCAGACGTTCCCACAGAAGGTCGAACAGCATACGTTATTGGCCTGACACTCCTGGTGATAGGCACAGTGGTGACTGCACATAGATATGCTTGGCCGCTTCTCACAGGCCTTGATTTCTACGGGTCCTTGTGGTTCTGAAACGGGGTGCAGGCAGGGTCAGTGGAACCAGGCCTCTAGTTTAACAGACCCCAGAACTCAGTTTATACTCATGACATGCTAGAGCTTTTCAGGAAAATCCCTTCCTGGTTCTTCAAATCCTAGGGATTTTCTTTTTTGTTCTTTTTTGGTGTTAAACTCTTTCAAAAAACAGTTTTATTCACATACCATACCATTCAAGGGGTTGAATATATTAAAGAGAGTTGTCCAACCCTCCCCAGAAGCAGTTCTAGAACATTTTCCTTTTTTTTGTACTCCTTGTTATTAGATCCACCTTTCCCCCCGTTATAAGTCTGAGAAACTGTTATTGTAGTTACTGCCTCTATAGATGCACCTATCCTGGATTTCATATAAAGAAAATTATGGAATATTCTTATTTTAAATCAGATGCCTCTTTTCCACAAGTGCCTGGGCTTCCTGGACCCTCTCCACATACTGTTAGTGGGCCCTGTCTATCTACTAGTCATGACCTTGGTGCACAGTCACCCCCCCTCCCCATAATATATGCTCTGAGCCAGAACTGAAGGAAGCTTGAGCCCCCTCGCCCCAACTGGTCTCTAGCGCTTTCAGGCTGCCAGCGAGGAGAACAGGCTCTCCTCACCCCTACTTCATTCTCCCCAGGATTGCTCCCAGAACTCACCACTTCTGTGGCTCCCTCTGGTCCTTCTGATAACTGGAAGTTGGTCTAACAGATGAAAAGTTGCCTGTCCAATGCCCTTTCTTCCTATAGCTACCAGGATCTCCGAATATGCTCATCTCTCACAAATGGGCACACACCAAGTACTCACGCTCCCCCCC